TTAGAATTAGGTGGGGTTTTTTGGTTTTTTGCTTGTTTGTTTGTTGCAGTACTGGGGGTCGAACTCAGGACCTTGAGCTTGCAAGGCAGGTGCAGTGCCACTGAGCTAAATCCTGGCCCTAGAACTAGTTTTAAGGGATTCATTAAAATAATGCCTATAAGCTTCTTGGCATTGTGGCCAGCTCATATCAATTATTCAAGAGTGGCAGTTCTTAACCATAATTCCATGAACGGAAGAATCCTAAGTGTCTTCAGCTCATGAGCAAACCACAGTATGTAGCACAGCCTGGCAGTGAAGTGCACATCACTTGGAAGTAGACAGAGTAGAAGTCCTGGCTCCACTGCCTTTATTCCAAATGCCCTTGGGAAACTGGCTTCAGGTGAGGTTCCCTGTCATTAAAACACCTCCACCTTGTACATGTGTATCGGAATACAGGGAATCAGTCACATGAGCAGCTTGCTCAGTTTTGAGCACAATGATAGCTGTTTCTGTCTACTTCCTTCTTCTGAGCTATTCAAACTGGACCATCATACCAGTCTGTTTCATAAAGTGAACACGATCTGTTGTTTAAATATCCTAAATATTTCTATCACCACAATGCTATGTTGTGAATTAAGAATAAATTATTAGATTCAAAAAGTTTTATACAATGTTCATCTGAAAATTATGTCAAGTTGATGTTTAAGGTCTAGTCAAGTCAATCCATTTCCCACTAGATGGCAGACCTTGTTAAAAAGTTCTGGCAAGGAAAAGAAAGAAAAAGAAAGCAGGGGAGCCTTCCAAAGTTGACCAATAGGTGTCTCTTTACAACCACATATCCCTGAACAGTTGTAGAAAAAAAGATAAATTCCCTACTTTTAAAACGTCTTTCTTACTCATTTTGCAGATAAGATCATCACCACTTTCCATAAAGTACAAACCGAACATTGAAGAGATGGTTATCTTTTAAGGTGCAGGAGGCAGTAACCATATTATATCCATGCAAAATGACATGAGGTTGTAAAAACATAACTAGGAATAAGATTCCAAATACAAGTGATTTGGCAGAAAATAGATCTTTTTAAAAAAAAAAATAGAGCTTATTAAAATGCTGTTGTCAAGTTAAACAAGGCTCTCTGTTTGAAGAGATCTTAAATATTTACCAGGCATATGACCGGCACTAACTGAGCTAAGAAGCATTCACCCTAACTCGAGACAGACTCCTGAAGCCAGTGGCTACTGGCTTGGTGAAAACAGCCTTGAAAACCAGGAAACAATAGGAATTCCTAAATAGCAGAGGACACGCTGGGTCATTTTTCGTTACTACTCTTTTTCACCTCAGTTTGAACAGATTTATACACACACGTGCAAATTCAGCCCGACCAGCCTCTTGGAATACTTATGTATGTTGAGTGTATAGGTGAATTCCGTCAACAACTTCAGAGAAAACAGTTTCTACTTATGAACCCCAGAATATATAAGCAGAATCCTATGCCCACTCTGGTAAATTTCTCTTTTCTGTTGGAAAAATATTCATCTCTAATCACTCTGAAAGAAATTATAGGTAAATATTAAATATAATTTACAGATAGAGGAGCCATGGTACTAAAAGGAAATATTTATTTCTACCACTTTAGGGGAAAGTTTACTTTATCTGAGGCTGAGTTAAATTACAATTGAAGAGTGTAAATATAAATATGTATCAGTGTACTCATACAGAAATGTACATGTACAAAACCACAAAATGGCATCATATATTTGTCTCTTTGTCATTCAGACTTCAGTTACTATAATAAACCTTGTTCTTATCTAAACAGCTTTTAAAATTACTAATATATTATAATATGCTTCAAATATCACAGCCAAACTAATGGCATTTTATTACTTCATATCATTCAAGGGAGTTAACCCCTCCACCTATCCCCTGGGGTAATCGTGTCACCACTGAAGTTAGGAGGATCATTTTAGGAGGCAGTGTGGAGCACCAGACATCATTTTCTGCCTATTCCCAGCTCCGGCAATTTCTGCTAGCACTAGTTTGACTCCATACCCTACACATGGTTGTCAGTACTCAATCTGCTTTCCACATACCTAAAATGCCTAAATGTGCCTCAATCTCTGTGCAAAGTGAATAAATCCATGATGTATTCCAAAACCTCACGAAATTCAGTGTATTTCTCTATGTGGCAGGGCAAGAATCCATCGTTCATAAAAAAGACTAGACCCACAGAACCTATGAGAAACCTACGAGAAAGTTCCAGACCTTTAATTTGCCATATTTTCCAAAGTGATCTTGGCCCACTTTTTTCAGAAAACAGCAGAAATGCGAGGCTGTCAGGTATGTCGTAACAAGTCACATCATGAAAATTAAACTTCTAGGTTCTCAGGAATCCCACAAGATCAGTTCCACAGAAGACAATCAGAAAGTTCTGTGCTCCAGTGGATCTTAAGCCCAGGGAGGATTTTTAAGCCCCGTTATAAAAGATCACCAAGTATTTCATTTTTTCCTACATCATATCAAACTGGTTAGGGCCTGGACTTTCCCTATTTTACACCACCTGTTGTCCCAGCTTCATTCTGCCTGGGCTCTATCTCTCAGGATAAGGGCCTCTTATGCATAACCACTCCTGTCTGCCTAATTGGGTAACACCAGTTTCTCACCAACACAGAACTGATTCCTTGTGTTAGAAAAACCTACTTGGGTGAATTTTGTTCATATTTTTCTCAATCATGGATTGTCTTTCATTTGATTCCAAAATGAAACATTTAAAATCTGATATCATTGCCTGGGCAAAGATTTCTGACCCTGGGTCAGAGAGAATCTTTTGTCAGTGACCAAAGCCACCTCCTCCACATGGGCCTCTGGCTGGCAGGAGAGGAAGCCTGTCTTGTCTTAGCAGAGTTCTCACAGCTGTCCTTTGGGTGTGCCCTGGACTTTCCTCCTTGAGCTTTTACACAGTGTTCTGGAGCCAAGTGCCCTCCTCTGTGTCTGAGCCGAGCACCTGTTTAGTCTGACTCAGGATATCAGCGTGCAGACTCACCCTCCTCTGACAGCAGAGCAGACTTCACACAGGTGACAAGTTAGCATGTGTTTCAGTGTAATGGCATGCCACACACATGATCCTGAGCACTCCGCTCCTTGTAGTAGGTGGGGCAACATACCCTGACTCTGATTTGTGGGGTGTGCCCCCATCCTGCGTTCCTATGCAGGGGCCTCAGCTGGGTTATGTTTCTGTAGTCCAAGTACAAGGATTTTTTTTTTCAAATGCAGTGAATTACTGCTAAGCTTTTTTTAAGTGGACTGTAAAAATACATATTTTAGTATGTCTTCTTGTGTGTTATAACATCAGCAAACACATGTATCAAAGCATTCTCTAACAGTCCCCTCTATTGTGAATAAACTGCATAGAATGAAAGAGGGAAATTGGGCTGAGGATTTAATGCCAATGGCAATTTGTGTTTTTCCAACTATATCATATCTCTAACAAAATGTATGTGTTTGCAGGAAAAGAGGGCAGAGAGTAAGGAGAACTCCTGCTGTAATAAACAGGTGCCTCAGTCTGAACAAACCCTCACAAAAAGTAACTCTGGCTATGATTTTTATTCCAGGTTAAAGTCTGAAAAAAACCTAATGTGTATTCATATTTTTCTGTCTTCTACAGATATAGTTCCCTTAACATCTAGAATTCCTCAACATTCCATTCTCTGACATTCAAATCAGTGACTGTTGGAAGGAAAAATAGAATCATTGAAATTAGCTCAGGAAGTCTTCCAATCCCCCCTCCAACACACACACACACACACACACACACACACACACACACACGCAGTTTTCTCATCCCAAGATTAAGAAGTTATGCAGTCTGACAATGCATTTTTCTTTTACAAGTCTTGACACCACCTCTGTTATTTTCCTTTTCTCGTTTGTCCAGCATATGTTAGAAATAAGACTAGGGTGGTCTTTGTGAAAATTTGGTCTTCCCTTTTTCTTTGAGCAAGAGGTAGGGGGGAAAGTGTAAAAATGGACAGAAGTGCCTGAAAATATGGTTAAAATTCCAGATTTTAAATGAACTACTTTAGAAGATTTTTAGAATTAATGCTACATATAAAATCAAAGTGCTTTTGCTGGTTACTAGGTTGTCTTCTTGCAACTTTAACCAATAGTATGTTTATGTATAAAGATATCTTTTTTAATGCAATACCGGAAGCTGGCAGATGGTGAAAGAGATTTTGATAATTTTATACTCCAAAAGACACCAATTGAAAGCAGATAAGTATTAAAAAGAAATAATTTACCTGAAGACATAATTTTTATTAAAATACACTGTGCCAATGAACAGATAAGAACTCTTATTGAACGGGTCTGTAAGAAAACGCCCCATGGCTCCCAGTGACAGTTCGCCTGCTGTTCCCAGTCAGCCTCCTTTGTATCTTTGCCGTTTCCCAGTTCCTCGGATAAGCAGGTCTTTCATGGGCTACAAGGCTTTTCTTTCAAGCCACCATAACTAATATGGTGAGAAGATTACTTAATTTCCACGAGGAAGCGCCGCCTGTGGCTGTGCCGGAGCCTGGAAGCCTGGCAGCCTGGGGTGGCCTCCCGCCCTCGGCGCGCTGGGCCCTGCCCGGGAGGCTCCCTGCTCGCAGGCGCCTTTGTCTCCCAGCTTCTGCCTTCCTTTTGCAAAAGCCGTGGGCTCATGATTTGGCCCGTGTGCAAATAAAACGCTCCAAAGGCCGCTTCCAAATATAGGTTCTCAGTGACACTGGGGCTGACCCGGGGTCTCCGGACAGCCCTTCCTTCCCCGGGCGGCTTTCAGCCCCTCGCAGACGCCGGGCCCACATCTGGAAGCCAGGCCCGGTTCAGACTCGGCTCCTGCGACTCATCCAGGCCTCAGAGAGCGCGCATAACCGGTCCAGCTAAGTGAAATTACCTCCCTCGAAAATACTTAAACACTTATTTTTCTCTTCACTGAAATGCCGAGAAACAGCCCATTTTGAACCAGAATAATTTAGTCTGACAACAGATTCTTCCTCTGTTCACAGCTGTCCCAGAGGGAGGAGCTGAAATCTGAAGCCCTTCGCTGTGATTGGATCTTTCTTGCAAAAGAGAGGGAAAAAACCCCTCCCAGCCAGAACGGGCTCAGTTGCTAAAGGAGCCCGGTGACTTCAGAGGCGCCGGCCCGTCCGCCTGCCGCACCTGAGCGGCCCTCGCCAGCCCGGCCGGCCGCGATGCTGTAGGGCCCGGCCGCGTCCTCCCGCCGGACCGTTATCCGCGCCCGCCAGCCCCGCCGGCACCATGCCGCGCTCCTTCCTGGTCAAGAAGCATTTCAACGCCTCCAAAAAGCCAAACTACAGCGAACTGGACACCCACACAGGTAAAGGAAAAGAAAGTGTATCTACGACTATGTATCTGCAAATCTGTAAGTCTAAATAGACATATTACTGCTCAGACTCCGCTGGCAAATAGCATAAGACTAAATTGTTGGCCTTTCTAAGACAGTCCTAAAAGACAGTTTATATTCTTTTGATCATTTGGGGTAAGTTTTAATTCAAAAGTTTTGAAACTGTTAACTGGCTCGGAAAACCTCATTCAGCTCTTGCAACCTGGCTTTCTGAGGCCTGTTTATACATGCATAATGAATATGTGGAAAGTGAGCAGCATCATACTAAATGGTGATTTTTTTTTTCGTGTAATAAGGTTCTTTTCCTTTGGAAGGCAGAGTGATTTACCCATATCATTGTACCCACAGTCACAACACATGTAAATAGCCCATGCATAAACTGGAAACAACTTTTCTGTGTGTTTGCAAATGATGTCTACTTGTGCCTCTGAGTGGGGTCGGCACAGGAACTCTGCCGGCTTCTCTCCCTGATTCTGAGGCCAGGCAGCTCAGGCAGCTGTCAGGCTGTGTGTGCATTCAGTACCATAACTGCAGATGTTTTATCAATATGTATATCTCCTACGGGTGTCTATCTTCTTCATTATAAAGTCCTGTGTGTTGCCAAATATTTTCTCATTGTGTGTGCTTTCGGAGATGTTTACCTTAATCTTCTTTCCTTTCCTTTTCTTTCCCTCAGTGATCATTTCCCCATATCTCTATGAGAGTTACCCCATGCCTGTCATACCAAAACCAGAGATCCTCAGCTCGGGAGCATACAGCCCCATAACCATGTGGACTACGGCAGCTCCATTCCACTCCCCACTTCCCAGTGGCCTCTCTCCTCTTTCTGGATACCCTTCCTCCTTGGGGCGAGTGAGTCCCCCTCCTCCATCTGACACCTCATCCAAGGACCACAGTGGCTCAGAAAGCCCCATTAGTGATGAAGAGGAAAGACTGCAATCCAAGCTTTCAGACCCCCATGCCATTGAAGCTGAAAAGTTTCAGTGCAATTTATGCAGTAAGACGTATTCAACTTTTTCTGGGCTAGCCAAACATAAGCAGCTGCACTGTGATGCCCAGTCTAGGAAATCTTTCAGCTGTAAATACTGTGACAAGGAATACGTGAGCCTGGGCGCCCTTAAGATGCACATTCGGACCCACACATTACCTTGTGTTTGCAAGATTTGTGGCAAGGCGTTCTCCAGACCCTGGTTGCTTCAAGGACACATTAGAACTCACACTGGTAAGAGAAAAATGTAGACAAAAATGTTGCTCTTTGATAGAATGATGGTATGGGCTGGATGTCAGATTTGCATGAAGTAGTGACACGGTGTTTTTCCTGATAGTCGATCATTGATAGCTACTTCCTGACTACTCAGAAACTTGCAAGAGCACAAAGTGCTCCATTTCTTGCTAGCAACCTCTGCTCCAGAGACTGCAAACACCATTTAGACTTTGGAAAGTAGATTCAGGAGGTTTGGTCTCAAAGATCAGTCAGAATATCAGGAAAGATGTGCTTGACTGTGTGTTCTTTGAAACTGCCCCTAGTAATCAGCAAATATAGATGTTGCTATCCTAATCAATTGATTTGGTAAATAGATGAAGAGTTTTCCTATAGTTTTTTTTCTGTCAGTTCCAATCTGGCTGTAAAATCTATCACTCCTTAGTGAGTTGAATGGTTGGAATTGAATTTGATTTGCGCCTTTGTTTCTTTTTCTTTTTTCTTCTGCTGCTGAATTTCTTATTCTTCGCACAGAATCTTCCTGGAGGGAGTGAAGGCATTTATACAGCCTAAATCATAGCACAGAAAGAGGGAAAAGGGGAAACACTGGGAATCGTTGGGAGGTGTTTGACATGAACTGCACCTGTTCAAGCAGAAAGCTTTAGTGAGTGAAAGTCCTAGAACTGCAAGAATCATTTCTTCGTGGCACCATGAATACTATTCTGGCTAACTTTTTAAATGCAGAATTTATCTTAAAGGGCCAGATATTATTATTCATGTGTTTTCTGGGGAATTTAATGGGATTTTGCAGTCTTCATTCTCTGGCAAAATGTGGTTGATATTTATTAACATTACTCAATGTTATGTCTCTTCTAAAACTGCTCTCTCTCTTTTCATCCCTACCCTGACCCCCAGGGGAGAAGCCGTTTTCTTGCCCTCACTGCAACAGAGCATTTGCAGACAGGTCAAACCTGAGGGCTCACCTGCAAACCCATTCTGATGTAAAGAAATACCAGTGCAAAAACTGCTCCAAAACCTTCTCCAGAATGTCTCTTCTGCACAAACATGAGGAGTCTGGCTGCTGTGTAGCACACTGAGTGACGCAATCAATGTTTACTCGAACAGAATGCATTTCTTCACTCCGACGCCAAATGACAAATGAAAGTCCAAAGGCATTTTCTCTTGTGCTTACCAACCAAATAATGTGTATAGACACACACATACACACATGTACACACACACACACACACTAAAAGCTACAAGAGCACAGAATTCTTTAAAGTTTAATATAATCCTTTCCATGTGAAGTTTAAAATTACTATATATTTACTGACAGCTAGATTGACAGAATAAAAGACAAGGAACTTTCTCTTCAAAGATGAAGCTAAAAGCACATTGCATCTTTTACTACTAAGAAAGAATGCAAAGATTTTCATTGTTGCCAAATCATTTCAACTGAAAAGAACAGTATTGCTTTACAATAGTTTGTAATAGAATTTCCTATAGGAAGAGAATCTGCCAGATGCTATCTCAGGTGCCTTATAAAGTATTCCAAGTTTACTTCATTACTTGTCTGATGTCAGGTTGACATCTTTGAATTAAAGCCTTTTTTGGATTACCAATAATGCTTTAAACTATATTTTTAAAGATAAGGAAAAAAAATAAGAACAAGAACAAAACACAGGAGAATGTATTAAAAGTATTTTTTGTTCTGTTCTGTTTTGTTTTTGCCAATATGTGCCTTGGGAGAGGAGGGAAAGACTAGCTTTAAACATTCCTGGTGCATGTTATGTGTCTTACTTTTTAAAGGAATTTTAATGATTTTCTAAAATTAAGTAAAAATGGGAATACGTGCAAGAGAGAATTCTTAGAAACACAGTAATGAACTTAAACTATTTTAAATGCATACGACAGATGCAATAATACAACACCCCTTCCGAGTGCCTTTTTTAATTAATTGTATAGTTGATGAGTCAATGTAAATTTGTGTTTATTTTTATATGATTGAATGAGTTTTGTATGAAAGTGAGATGTTGTTTATAGCTATGCCTATATACAACCTGAAGACTTATGAAATCAATGTTTCTTTTTTAAAAGTAATTTTCTAGGTCCTTTTTTACAATAAACGTTTTTGATTTAAAATTTATTGCATGTATACTATTTTTGAAGCCTTTACTTGCTTTGTGATTTGTACCAAATGGCTATACAAAGAATTGTTTCTTGTGGTAATGAGAAAAAAGTAAAGTGTTTATTTTATGTATCAGGTGTTCTTTTAATCTGTTAGATTACAATAAACTGTCAGGTTTTTTACTCTTAAAAGATAATACTGTCACATTCAGAAAAATCAACATTATGATAGTACTGTGTCAGCATGTCTCTGTAACAAAAATTCTACCTTCTGAATGCTAAAATAGTCATATATTAATGGTCCAAAATACTTTTCAAAACTTTTTATTTAGGTTGGCTTTATGAAAGCAACTTATATTGTTATACAGGGCCCTGGAACAGATTCAGGAAATATTGCTTAATGAGATGTAAGAGGGAAAAGAAAATCTCCATTAAAAATCAGGAAAAAATAGATTTACACAAGTTGGAAAATTAAACCATGTAAACTAAGTCCCAAATTTAGTGCTATTAAAAAGTGATATATTTGATGGGATCAGGGCTAACTAGTGGGAAGTTGGTTTCATTTTATAGTGTTTGCACAAGATGAGCAAACCACTTACCCAAACCCAATGTGTATGTGGTTGATAAAATATAACATGATCATGCACCCCACATTCAGGTTCATGTTTCTTAAATGCTTGCACACTAATATGCAAAACTCCAAACCATGATATGAACTATGATAATTAGTGTGTGCGTTTGCATCTAAATTCCAAACCCACTAAGGATAGTTCCTTCTATTGTTAATCATTTTCTTTTATAAGATGAGAACTTGCAGAATCATGTTTTTCCTTTTTATGTCCTGATGAGCTAAAGATATTAGCAATAGGCTACTGGTATGTGAGCAATAATAAATACCAATACTATTCCCTTAATGTTCACATTAATTCCAATACATGTTACATTTACATTTTTAACCTATACAAAATGGTTCTGTATTGACTAAAAAAATCTTAAATTTAGTATTTTAATATTTTGATATTTCAGGGGCAAAATTATTTGAAACATCAATTTATGGAAGGAAAACAAGCCGATAGCTTAACTAGAGATTCTAAACTTAGGAAAAGACCAACTGATCTCATGCACAGAAATAATTGCCAAAGATCATCCGAAAGTTTGAAGACCAGCTGACACATAAAAACATCTTGCAGAGGGGAAGTGTGAATAAACTGGGCATCCCTGAGACCTCTGGTTGGCCACTCCATGAACCACCTCAAACCCCTTCTCTCTCCCTTGTTGTAGATCTATAAGCAAAATTTACTGGTGTCCAAAATTTAAAGAACTAATTTTCCAGAAGGAAAAGTCTGTTAAGTTGTCCAATTTCTTAGTGAAGAATTAATGTGTTTTTTTTCTAGTATCAACTGTGTTCCCTCTGTTCTAATTTCATTCTTAGTTAAAATACTTGAGTTTCAGTAAAGTAACATGGGTCACAACTAAGACACATCAGATACTGAGATGGTCTATGAAATTCTTTTTTAGAATTTTTAAAATTATAACCATAGTCATTGACTGGATGTCCGCTCTCTTACAGTAGCTGAAAGACTTGACTCTAATGTAAGTTGCTCTAAATTTTTTTTCAAGTTCACCACTTCTGGGAGCTTTATACCATTTATATGATAGTACTTACACATCACAATCTTATGTAGATGTCTTCTTTTTCATTAGATAGAACATCCTCCAAGCAGAACTTTTCATTATATCCCACACAGCATATCAATAAATGTGTGTTGTATGCATGCATGAATGAATAAAAAAATATAGAAATTCAGGAAAAGGCTCACATTTAAAAGAAATTCAACATATTCTCATTTATTATAAGGAGTTTTGATAATTTCCAAGAGCTCTTCCACGTAAATTCACTGTTGGGTGTTCTGGACTCATGATGAGTCCCCCTAAATAGCTTAGTTGCCAAGGAAGTAAGGAAGGAGACCAGTACAGTGCCTGTGGACAATGTATGGTAGACATTCTGAGAGCCTATATTTTGAAAATTATAAATGTTAACAATAGGTTCATATGTACTTAAACATTCTCAGTATCTTTAATTTGTTTTGCATAATATGAGGCAGTATTGTGTGGTAACAATAGTACAAGGTTTTAAACCCCACATATTTTCCTAGAATCACTGCCTCACCACCTATTTGCTTCATGTCCTGATACAAGCTACTTATCTATTTTGTGCTTCAGTTTCCTAAAATGTAAAATAGCAATCAAGTCTCACAAGTTCACAAATAAAGTCTTCTGCACTCCCTGGCACTGACGAACCTCATATGACAGAACAACCCATTCCCACTGCAGTCACCAGTGGGAACCATGGAGCTGTCCTTGTCCTGGGAAGTGTGTGACACTGTGTATATGATCTCAATGGCAACAGTTTCTCTGTGATGCTGATATTTCACTGACAAGGACATTAAATTCAGAGAAGTTGGATAATGGACCTAAGGTGACAAAAGGGACAAGCTGTAAAACTGAAGTTCAAACTTACACTTTCTGACTCCAAAGATTCTGCTCCTCCCAAGCCAGCATGGGAACAAGGAGACCCCGCTGAACTACGCTCAGCACGATCATTTGTATTTTGTAGGCATTTAAAGATTTGTTGAAAAGGACAATGATAATGTGCTCTGAAATTACATATTTTAACAGTCTATTTAGGAACTCTCACAATCCAGGAGTTGTACCTGGCACATTCACAATCTTCAGAACCATTTGTCCACGTTCACCTAGAATTTCTGCTGGCTTCTCTCCCTCCCATCCAGCCCCACTGGCCCTTACAGTTCCCGGTAGCCCCCAGCTCTCTGCCTGCCTGGGAGCCCATTTCCTCTGGTTTGTTCTCCGTGGAGATGAAAAGCAGCTGGTCTCCGTCCTCTGTACATTAACACTTCATCTTCTGAAGGCCACTGTTACTCCCTCACACACCCACACTCCTCACCCGGCTTTTATCTTCTTAGCCTGAAAAGTCGTCCAAGCTAAACAGCATTTCTTTCACAACTCAAATGTGGACACTGTGGTATAATGAGGCAATTATAATTTTGAAAAGTATAAGGCTTTCCTGGATGGAATCCACAGCTTAGAAGTTGTTCCTAGTTTCTATATGGGAAGCATTTTGAGCAAAATTAATTTGAGAAAGAGCATTCTGACATCTAGGGGAGCAACCATTCTCAAATAAAATGATTCTCTATCATTCTCTTCTCTTCTGATCTCTTCTGATCAGAGATGGAGAAAAAATGAAAACATTTCCTTTACTGGAGTGTGGCATATGGACGAAAAACAAAATTCTGGCATTCAATTTTCGGCAGTAAATGTGCAAAATCTACCACTACAGGAGTAAATTGAAGGTGAACAGCAGGATGAGCCCCTCAGCCCTCCAGGAAGTAATCATTACTCTGTGGAAAGCATGCATGTAAAAGCCAACTAGCATGGCAGCCTTTCCGTTGTGGCACTGGGCCAGACTCCCAAACAATGAGAGATCAGCAGAGGAAATGGCAGCATATCTGCATCCACAGACTCTAAAGGGACTGGGGAGGTATTTATAGCAGGGAGTAGATGAGTGCTTTGAGTAAAAGACGGGGGTGTTTGTGTATTTAGTACCAGTTCATTTAATGAAGCTCCTCTGGTTATGACCACCAGTGTAATTCCTTCAGCTCCTTCTTTTGGAAGTGTGTAGAAAGTTGGGAAGCCTCCACAGTGATCACTAAGTAGTTTCCACAGAAAGTGGCCAAAGGGAAAGGCCTGGCACTAATCTGCTTTAGGAGTCAGGGGAGTAGAGAAGATGTGATAACATCCTCTGCCAATTTATTCTGGGGCTTGAATCAACTGCTTCCCAGATTGAGCAGCATTAAAAAAATGTCTTCTATCACACAGTTAGGAGGCATCCATAGCTGATTCTAGGGAGTAAGAAGAAAAGAGCCAGTTGAATAAAATTGTGATACCTTCTCTTGCCAAAGAAAATTGAAGACAATTATATTCTTCTGAGTTCTAACGTCTCCCTACATAGCCTTCAGATGTGTAGAGGTTTAGAACTTCCCTATACTGTGTATTAAATCTTAATTTTAAAAAAAGTTGGCAGAAAGACAAGTAACAGAGAGAATCCCTTCCAGCCATGTACAACCTCACTGAGTTACAGGCTCGGCAGCCTTGTGCACTTTGGTCTGGTGCCTGTTGAATCTCAGTTTTCCCAGGCTCCTCTGTAAGCCATTTACACCCTTGTTCACTGTGTCATGGCCAGGCCTGAGAATCTCCGTGTCTAGCCAGTTCTCAGGGCATGCTGCTTCAACCCTAGTCCCAGCTCCGAGCCCCATGTGGCTTTCCCCTCCCTGGATCTTGATGGAACACAGCCAAGACAACATGGAGAAAGACAGCATGAGATGGGTGGAAGGGACTGTGGCTGCACACGATGTGCGCCTAGCTGTGTGAGTGCACGGATCCCCAGTAACTCCAGCTTTCCTTTCCTGCTTTCCCTCAAGAACCATCACTGCCGTAATCCCGATCTACATACAGACAACCCGCTCTTCATAGAGACAATCAACCACGGATCCAAAATATTTAAAAGAAAAAACTCAACTGTACTCAACATTTACAAACTCTTTTTCTTGTCATTATTTTCTAAATAATACAATATAGCATCTATTTACATTAATGTATGTTGCATTAAGTTTTAGGTAACAGCAATGATTTAAAGTGTACAGATGTGCATAGATTATATGCAAGCACTATAACATTTTACTTAAGTGCCCTGAGCATCCTTGAATTTTAGAATCCAGAGGGTGCTGGAACTAGTCACCATGGTTACCAAGGGATCCTGGAGCAGTCTGATCGGCTGTGACTTGGTTGTCTGACTTTCACTTCGATTTTTCTTGTATTTTCATTGTACTGAAGCTTCATTCACCTTTGAGGGACTCAGAAATAACCTTTCTGGCCCCCTAACACCAGGGAGACTACCTGGGCTCAGCTCTCTACAGTAAAGCCGCTAAGCAAGGTTTCTCT